TTTTTGGGTCTTCTAAAAATTCTTCTATGCAATCATTACAATTTCGTGCTCCCCCTTTCCTTTGGAATAAGGGTCTTTTACATTAGTTACAACTAAGTGTTGTCTGGATGCAATTCTCTAGCTAGACATAATAAATGTTTTGTTTCTAAAATTGTGAACTCTTCTGGCTGTCCCACGTTGTTCCAACATGATCCGCACAGCTTAAATTTTTGGCCCGTCCAATCTGGTAGTTTGATATAAATTGTTTCTTCAGGGTTGATTGCTTTCATGCATACACTTGCTATTAGTGATGCATATACTTCAAAATGATCAATGGGTTTACTCCATCAATCGGTCCGTAGAATTCTTGAAAATCCTTTTCTTCTTGACCTTGTGGTAATTTCATTTCTATAGACAAAATATTATATAAAATAACGGATGATATTATAATAATAACGGAGATATTATAATAATTTTTGGTAAAGAGTTGATACTTCGTTGCGGGTATTTGGTTGTATATCTGAAATTATGTTAGTGTTTGTTTTGTGTTGTGTTTTGAGTTTGTTGTGTAGTTAGTATTTCTTCATGTATTGTTGCTGGTGCAGTACTTGGTTCCGGATTTTCTTCATTTCTTCTATCTTCTTTTGGTGTTACTCCTTTTCCAAGATGTACCAGTAAATTTGTTACTGAGTCCCAAAGTGCTCCTATTAAATGTATTGACCAGCCATAAATTGAATGAATTGTGTATCCATGAATTATAGTATCAATGACTAATTTAATTGTTCTTATGCAGAAATATATTCTAATTAATCCTGCACTGGGATTTCCAAAGATTATGAATGTTCCCCAAATTTTCTTCCATGTGTTTTTGACAATTTTTTCTATAGATGATTCATCCAGAAAATGTGAAAGCGATATTCCTTGTTGCTCAGTTGGTCTGCCTTTAACTCCTCGTGTTATGGTATTTAGTATTCCATTCTTCTCAGCTGAGAACATAATGTGTTCTCTTAAATTTTCTAAATCTTTATTATTATAAATCCCGCTTGTTGCCAAAGAACCAGGATTTTTATATTCCCATGTTGGCTTGATCATTGGCTTAATTTTCATTGGTGGTATTCCTAATTCCGGTGTTGGAGAA